TATTATCATAGGAATGCCTAAAAGATCAAAGGCTTTTTGTACCTACCTGTACCTCTGCATAACCTCAAAATTGGTGCTTGGGAATCTCACACATTCGCATGGAAATCTGCGAAATAAGGGTCCCTGAGACCCGAAAGAAAAAAGGGATTTTGGAGGATATTCAACACTTCTACTTCTTGGAACCCTGACTTACATAATAAAAATAATATGTAATAATGATTGATGGGATTTCATTTGGGTCTGAGATCTAGATATTAAAATATATTTGTGTCATAATGTTACTTGGAAACGTGTGATAGACGTATCAATATAGGGCTGTCTATGTACAAAATAAATGATTAGCCCAAAAAACGACGACCTAGCCTTTCCTTTTGTTTTTATATTACCTAATTTTTTTTCAGTGTATTTCATTTAGAGCCATTTTAGCCTACTATCTTGATTTTCCTACTGTTTTCCCTACTATTGAAGATACAGAGAAAATAAATAGTATCTACTTGGTAAAACTACAAACCATTCCAAAAATTTTACACATAAGTCTGAATCATCCTTTATCACGTACCTAAACCTATCATAAAAGCACTAAAACGAGTAAGCACTCAAGTTACCGTTTAATCCCCCCCCCCCCCACTACTTTTTGAGCCATGCATGTCACGTAGGCGCTTGGCGACACTAAATTGTTTATTAATTGTCCGACCGCCGGACGGGGAGGACGTATTTAAGGTGGGGAGAAAAATAATAGTCATTGTTAGAATGAAAGTGTGAACTACACTCTGGTTTTAACTAAATTATCCCTCATGATTTATTTTTTAAACGCCATTTGTAAAGGTGTTGTATTTATACACAACTAGCTATCCGCCCGCGGCTTCACCCTCGTGGAATTTTTCGGTTTTTTATATAACCTATGACACTCAGCAATAATGTGGCTTTCTATTGGTGAAAGAATTTTTAAAATCGATTCAGTAGATCCCGAGATTACTTATTTATTTATTTATTTATTTATTTATTAGGGACATCAACAGCTTACAGATTTCAATGTAACATTAGACACTTAACACTATGGAAAGCCAATAACAGATATCCACGCAGTAACTTAGTTTAAATTTTGTCTGTGTACAAACAAACATTTGTGAAGAGAAGCTGAGATAAGTTACATAATTTTATTAGTCTTAAGTATTACAAACATTTTAAAATTAAACTTGTAAAATATTTGCAAAAAACAGTGCTCATAACCTGTTAAATTATACTATAATTACATTCCACATTGTTATTTACCATTTACTCGAACGCCAAATGGAGGGAAGCACAGCAAAGAGCGAGGTTAAACGCTGTCATCAACCTTATCACACAGACAAGGTTGAGCAACGGTTTCTGCGACATGAAATTGATGGTGTTACATAGTCATCGTTACATAGTATAAAACAAAGTCGCTTTCCGCTGTCTATCCCTATGTATGCTTATATCTTCAAAACTACGCAACGGATCTTGATGCGGTTTTTTTTTTATTAGTTTTTAGATTAAGATATTCAAGAGGAAGGTTTTTATGTAAGTAAGTATAACATATTGCACTTGTGCGAAACACGGGCGGATCGTTAGTTAATTATTATTAAGACATTAATAAACAGAGGAAAGAATACCTTTTTACGGTGTTTCGTTATTGATAATTTGAATTTTTATTTGTTTTTTGAAGTGTTCCTTACTTCCAATGAAAGGGTCTGCTGCACAAAATATTTTATTGTAAAGATTGAGAATCCTGTTCACTATAGAGTGCTTTGCGTACGTAGNATCTTGATGCGGTTTTTTTAATTAGTTATTAGATTAAGATATTCAAGAGGAAGGTTTTTATGTAAGTAAGTATAACATATTGCACTTGTGCGAAACACGGGCGGATCGTTAGTTAATTATTAAGACATTAATAAACAGAGGAAATAATAACTTTTTACGGTGTTTCGTTATTGATAATTTGAATTTTTATTTGTTTTTTGAAGTGTTCCTTACTTCCAATGAAAGGGTCTGCTGCACAAAATATTTTATTGTAAAGATTGAGAATCCTGTTCACTATAGAGTGCTTTGCGTACGTAGTAGAAAAGATAGATGTATGAAAGAGACTGGTGTGTCTTGTGCGTCGGACTGGGGTACAGAACGACACCTCCCCCAACAATGGCGGGCAGTCCAGGCGTCCGCAGACTACATCGTACAGTAGACCCATATCTAATATCTGTCGACGCTCTTCCAAGGTAAACATGCCGTAGGTCCGACAAAGATCTCTATAGGCCACCTTATGATCCGCTTTTTTACATTTGTAATTTAGGTGTTTTATGAACTTTCTTTGTATGCGTTCAATGTTGTTGATATGCACCTTAAAATATGGAGACCAGACAGGACTGGCGTACTCTAAGATACTGCGGACAAAAGCAGAATAAACGACCTTTAGAGGATCGGCACTTTTAAAGGGTTGGCATGTACGAAGCACGAAGCCAAGACCGCGATAAGCCTTATTGACTATCGTGTTGATATGATGATTCATGGACATTTTGCTGTCAAAAAATATTCCTAAATCTCTAACCGTGTCATTTCGCTCGATCACAACCCCATTAAAATTATATGGGAATAGTATAGGTTTCTTTTTTCGTGTGAAACTTATGCTAACGCATTTGCCGATGCTTACCGCAATGTCATTGAGGGAGTAGTAACTGTACAGATTATTTAGGTCCTCCTGAAGACGACGGCAGTCGTCAATGCTCCTAATTCGTGTATAAACTTTTTTATCGTCAGCGTAAAGAATGTAGTTAGAGTTTTTTATATGTGAATGTATATCGTAAATGTAAACGTTAAATAAGAGAGGGCCTAAGTGCGAACCCTGGGGTACGCCCGAGGGTATTGAGATGTAGTTTGACTTGTAACCTCCTAAAACAACTGCCTGGGAACGATTATTAAGGTAAGACTCAACCCATCGAAGCAGATCTCCGTGAATGCCGATGGACTCAAGCTTCAGGAGGAGGATGCGATGGTCCACGCGATCAAAACATTTCTCAAAATCTGTGTAAACAACGTCCACCTGCCCACCCCTGTCCATTTCTGTAAGAATATAGTTAGAGAAGATAGCAAGATTAGATGTTGTTGAACGACCCTTAACAAATCCGTGTTGATTGTGAGGTATGGCATTGCTTACAAGAGGGTAGATATGATTGTACACTAGCTTTTCAAATACCTTACTTATTGTGTTTAGAATGGAAATTGGGCGGTAGTTTTGAATAGCTGTCTTAGGACCTTTCTTGTGCACCGGTATAATGTGGGCCCGTTTCCATAATAAAGGGAAAATGCATTCATCAAGAGATTTTTGAAAGAGTATGGAAACAGGTATGGACATACCATCAGCACAAGAAGCGTAAAATATTGGTGGAATGCCATCAGCGCCAGCCCCTTTGTTTTTATCCAGTGACCGCAGCAAAGTTTTAACATATATTGGACCAACAGATATACGTGAGGTATTATCGCATGATGTGAAAGGATTAAGTAGCTGTCGAGAAAAATTAAGGTTACGATCTTTTTTGAAAACACTTTCAAAATAATTATTGAAAGCTGAACAGATGTCATTACCATCAGTAAATGTAGTATTATTTAAAATGAAAGATTTAGGATAACAAGAAGAACCTCTTTTATTTTTTACGTATGTCCAAAAGTATTTGGGTGCATGTTTAATGATTTCTTCGGCGTTTTTAGTAAAATCTAAGAAACATTTAGACTGTATTCGCTTCTGCCTAGATCTAAGTAAAGAAAATTCATCGTAGTCTCTAGGGTTATTTGTTTTTTTCCATCTCTTATGAACTTTCTTTTTCTCGTGTATAATTTTTATAAGTGCTGTGCTGTACCAATTAGGAAAAGTTGTTTGGTTGACTGAGCGTGTAGACAAAGGGACAAACTGATTAAAACATTCATTTAATTTTTCATAGAAAATATCCACGGCGTCGTCAACCGACTTATCAGACAAGAGATCCACCCAGTTTATGGACTTCAAATAGCTATTAATTTTGGTAAAGTCACATTTCCTAAAGTTTAAGCGGGGTACACGTTTTTCAATTAAAGGTTCAATGTACAAGTCTACTAAAGACACTTCTAAACAAGGATGATAACAATCTTCTTTTACCATTGGGTTTTGGCAATGAGTAACTGATGAAATTATATTGTTACTAAAGCACAAATCTAAAATATTATTCTTATTATTGCTTATAAGGTTATATTGAATTAAATTTAGAAAGCTCATTTCGTCCAAAAAGTTAACCGCAGCTTCATTTAAATTGTGGGGGCATGAGCTTAGTATTTTATAACCATCATATTTTAAACTCCACGTAACGCCTGGTAAGTTAAAGTCACCAATTAAAATAAAATTGTCTAAAGGGAATTTATCAACTAAGTAAACCATATTAGTCTTTATGTGCATTAACCGTGAGCATATTTCAGTCTGATCCGGAGGAACATACGCGACGGCGATGTGTAAATAAGACGTGTGTGAGTTAGACGATGAAGTATCGTGAGTAGGTATAGATATGCAGATAGATTCAAGCAAGTCCGTGCGCTGCCACTCGTGATTAAGTTCGGCTTGTAGTTTGCGTTTAACCAAAATCATTACACCACCGCCAGTCTTTCTATTGGTTGCATTGAGGTTGCGGTCGCAGCGAAATATGTCATACCGACTGTCGCACAGTTCCGAGTCAAGAATGTCGCTCTGCAACCAAGTCTCAGTAAATAATAGAACATCGTAATCGGTATTTAAAACGTTATTGTGGAATGATGTGCATTTCGTGCGTAAGCCGCGTACATTCTGATAAAATATGTTAAGTTTACTACCAATATATGAAGTTCCGTTAGCCATCTTTAGGTAAACTAGACATTTTCAACGTTACAAACACACACCAGTACGTTAATTTACTACTCTTAATTATTGTGTAATCATTACTATTGTATGAATAAAAATGGACGTTGTGCAACAAACCCCCGCAATACAATAAAGGATTATAGCATCGGTTATATATATATATTAATGGATGTATATATATTAATTTTATGTAGGTTTCTTCCTCAGATAAATAAAAGACTAAATAGAAATTAAATATATAAGAGAATATGATAACTATGCATTGTGCATCGACGTTCGAGCATTTTATAGTAGGCTGAACACTATCATTATAATAGGTATAGCTATGAACACAATATAAACAAAGGATACAAGTACATGGAGGTCTCCTCAATACATTTGGTTTCACTTCAGTTTTTCCAAATCTTTTTGGGTTTTTATGAAAAACGAGGGCGATGTGTCGTTCCGGCGAACGTAGATTTTGCAGTTACGAATCCAAACAAACTGGAACGAAGATTTGGACGCCAGCTCACGGGTCTTCCTGTATAGTGCTTTATAATATGGTGTGAGGTGTTCATTCACGTAGATGCGACGGTCCTCTCCTCCCATCCCTATTTCCTTTGTAGTGAGTGCCTTTTTCTTGCGTATAGCAGATATTATCGAATCCTTTATCAGTTGTGATTTAAACTTGACTATGATAAGCTTCGGATTATTTGATACTCGGGTAGGTACTCTGTGAATGTGAATTATGTCGTCAGCGCACAGTACTAGGCCAAGAACTTGACATATTTGATGCAAATGTTGAGAGAGATTTTCATTGTGTGATTTTGGGATGCCCGAGATTTCCAAATTATTCAGTCGTTCACGTTGCTGTTGAATTTGATACTCCTCAGTTAACTCGCCAAGTTGTTTTTTACATTCAGCCAATTCGTTTTCAGTTGTTTTTAATAAAGTCAAATCCTCTTTCATTAAGTCAACGCAGGATTTAAGATCATTCTGCTCCTTTGACTGGTATTCAATAGAATCCACAATACTGCTTAATTCTTTTTTGAAGTTGGAGTGTTCTTCCTTCATTTTATGCATATCTGTTCTCAATGAGCAGATATCATTTTTTATTTCATTAAGATCAGAGCGCATATCTTTTACATCCTGGTCATGAGCCGTCCGGAAATCTTTTAGGAAAGACATACTTTCCGTCCTAAATTCGGTCATCTCATTTCTCAGATCGTCATCTAATGCATGTTGTTTACGTTTACGCTGCGTGACTTGCGCATCCGAGGATCCCTTCTTGTTCGGCGAATGTACCAAATTCATCCTTATGTTCTGATTCGGACGGGTCAGTATGGGTGAGAGCAGTCCACGATGCGTAGTTGAGTGAGATGGAGTTATCTGTACCGCTCGCACAATTTCACAACAGGAGCGCAACGATTTAACAGCCACTGGTAGTGAGTACAACTTAGGACCGTATGTGTACCGCAATAAGCCGTAATTCACTTTGCACACAAATTAATATTTTTGACAGAATTTAGAGCGATGATGCACACGTCCGCTACAAGCGGACGTGTGCATCATCGCTCTAAATTCCCTGTAACAATCACTTTCACTAGTAATCATCCCTGTGACTACTATTGCAATTATCCCTGTAACTGCACAATACACCCCAAGTCATCCCTGTGACTATAGGTTTCAAAATAAAGTAATCATCCCTGTGACTACTATTGCAATTATCCCTGTAACTGCACAATACCCAAGTCATCCCTGTGACTATAGGTTTCAAAACAAAGTAATCATCCCTGTGACTACTATTGCAATTATCCCTGTAACTGCACACTACACCCCAAGTCATCCCCGTGACTATAGGTTTCAAAATAATGTAATCATCCCTGTGACTACATTACTAATCGCAATCATCCCTGTGATCACGATATCGTCATAAGTCGAAAGTCTATGATCCGTCATCAAGTCAAAATTATGTAATCATCCCTGTGATTACGAACATAGTGGTAGTCATCCCTGTGACTACCACTCAGTGGCCTCTACATAACAAACATCATTATTACTCAAAATTAAATCATAATAAATCATTCACTATTACTATCATCAATGGGCACTTGACTTGTGGGCATTTCTCTAATTCGATCGTGAGCATATTTGTAAGTCCGTTTTGAATTTAACGCCTTTAAGAGATAGCGGTCACCATCGAGTACCTCAATTATTTTAAATGGACCCTTAAATTTTGGATCTAATTTAGTTTGGTTTCTTTCCTCATTCTCAATTAAGACAAAATCACCTACTGAAAACTTTTTGAGCATTGCCTTAGTACTATCAAATCTTATTTTATCATACTTAGCATTTTTTTCAATTCCTTCTGTTGCCCTCTCTCTAACTACCTCTAAGTCTACTTCAGTTTCAACGTCACTATTGGTTACCAAAGACAACGGCCTAGCAACTTTACCTATCATAAGTTCAAGTGGTGAGCACTTAGTTACACGATTTTGCGTGCAATTTAAAGCGAGTTGTACATCACCTAAATAATCTTGCCAAGATTTATCTGAATTGGTCTCTATCGCTGTGAGCATTGATTTTAGCACGCTCATAACGCGTTCCACTTGGCCATTAGCACGGGAAGATCCGGTGGCAATAAGGTGTAATTGAATGTTCTTGCTATCACAATATTCCTTAAAATCTTTACTTGCAAAGCATCTACCCTGATCGGCAATAATGCGGGTAGGAGCACCAAAAAGAGAAACGCTTTTAACTACAGCCCGTATAGCACTTTTCGTATCAATATTAGTGGTATGATAGAGCAAAACAAATTTTGTGAAAGCGTCTATTAAAACAAAAACGTACTCTTTCATATCATTCTTACCACTGAGTTTTCCGGTGGCATCAATATGGATGGTATGCCACGGGGAAGTCACTTTAGGTATTGGGTGCAATTCTGCCTGAACCTTACCCGAATGGGATTTCGCTACTTTACACGTGACACAGCTATCTACAAATTTCTTTACATAACGTGATAAGCCTTCAAACCAATAGTGATCGTATACTTTCTCTAACGTTTTTTCCCAACCTAGATGAACTAATGAGTCGTGAACATTATTAATAACGGACCATTTCAAAGCATGGGGCACTATTGGTAGACAACGTGTCCTGCCACATCTTTGAATTTTTCGATGTAAGATACCAGATCTAAGCACATATGTCTTTGCTACGCTATCTTCTAATTCACCGTTTTTTAAACCGTCAATTATTTTAATAATCTCACTATCACGCTGCTGTTCAGCGAGGAGCCAATTTGAGGAAAGTTCTACTATATTAACGCGTTTGTGCTCTACTTTAGTTGTGGGAGAGTTAGACATTGAAGTCGGTGGCAAAGAATTGCGTGACAAGAAGTCTGCGTGAGGCATTTGTTTTCCTTCCCGATAAACCACGTCAAAGTCAAACGACTGAAGAAAGGCCCACCATCTATGCACTCTAGGGGTCAAGTCAGTTTTAGTACGTGAAGCTTTTAATGAATTACAGTCAGTGACTACCACAAATTTACGGCCATGTAAATATTGTCTGAAATGCTTGATAGAGTTCACTACAGCAAGAGTCTCCAACTCATAAGAGTGATACTTAGACTCTGCCAACGAAGTTCGCTTACTGAAATATGCTACAACATGCCGTTTTTTATCATGTAATTGAAATAAGACTGCACCGTAACCTTCTGAGCTCGCGTCCGTATGTAGCTCTGTTGGTAGAGCAGGGTCAAAAATTTTCAGAACGGGGTCATTTGTTAAAATTGATATGACCTTTTGTCGAACTTCCTCATGCTCTGGTTTCCAGACAAAACTTCCTTTAAGAGAAGTTAATTTATAGAGAGGTGCCATGAAACGGGAAAAATTTGCAATGAATTGTCGGAAATAAGAAGCTAAACCTATGAATTGTCTCAGTTGAGTAATGGTTTCAGGTGGCGGTAATGAAGTAAGTGACTCTACTTTGCGTTTGTTTGGCCGAACCTCGCCATTATCTACTTCATAGCCTAAGAATTCCACTTTACTTTTTAGAAAAGAGCATTTCTTTAGGTTAAATGAAAAACCGGCCTTAGTGAGCACATCAAGAACAATATTAAGCCTCTCTATCCCTTGCTCTACTGAATTTGACAAGATCATGACGTCATCAACATACACGATGACATAGTCATGCGCCAGGTCACCTAGAGCATTAATTATCGCTCTTTGAAATACGGAAATGGCATTACGTAAGCCAAACGGCATGGTTAGATATTCGTATTGGCCATCGGGTGTTATGAAGGCAGTTCGCTCTATAGACTCTACATTTACTGGAATTAAATGAAATCCACTAGCACAGTCAATTTTAGTAAAGTATCTGGCACCATGAAGCCTTGAGATTTGATCTGATATTAATGGTAGTGGATATCTATCTGGAACAGTATTGTCATTGAGCTCCCTGTAATCGATACACATTCTATCGGAACCATCGGGCTTTTTTACTAACAACGCAGGGCTTGCGAATGGCGAACAACTAGGTCTTATAATATTCGCACGTAAAAGCTCGTCTACTTTATTACGCATGGATTTACGTTCCTCAGCAGAAAACCTATACGGCCGTTTTTGCACAGTTTTATTAGGATCTTTTAATCTTATTTCTAATTCACCAGTTGTCACACGTGTAGTGGGCATGGAAGTAGTGAAATAATCTGAGTAACGTTCGAGAGATTCCAAAAGCTTTGGTTTATGATCAAATGGGATATCAGTATCAATTCCCGTAAAATTAGGTGGAGAGTGCTCGATGGTGCAATTATTAATAACATTGGTTTTTAACAAGTTAAAATGAGTAGCAGACATTTGGACTGAAAGTCCATTATTTAAAATCTCACGACCGATTATAATCTTTTCACGTAAATAAATATCAGGTAGTACATGCAATAAAATCTCAAGTTCAACATTGTCAATGATAACTTTACATAAAATCTGTTCAGTAGATTTTAGACTGCTTTTTCCAATACCAGTTAAATTTACAGTATCATAAAAATGTTCTCCGCTAAATTTAACGGCTAAACTTTTTTGAATAAGTGAACACTCAGCTCCGGAGTCATAATGAAATTGATAGGACTCACCGTTATGTTGGATGGTAGCAGACGGCGGGGAGACCTCACACAGGTCGACTCGACGCTCTCTCTGCACACTGGAGCTTGACTCCTTGTCTTGAAGGCTGACCCCGGTGATGCAGCGGCTCGCCACGTGACCCGGTTCGCCACACTTGAAACACACAACGCTTGGTCTTCCTATTGGTGGTGTTGCTGGTGTCTTGACTGGTGGTGTCTCGATTCTCGGCCTCTGGTTTTTGATTAAAACTCGGCATTCCGACTGACGATGTCCTAGTTTTCCACATATGAAGCATTTTGGTATTGATGGTCTTGTAGAAAACTTCGATCGTTTGAACTCATGCGATGTTTCATCTTCATTGGTTGTAGCCTTCTTTTTTCCGTACGAAAATGCTTGCAATTCCTTTTGTAGTTGTAGACGAGATGTAACTTCACTCGTAAATGCAAAACGTTGCAATCTTGAGTCAAATTGAGAAATATGACCAAGAACTGTTGCTACAGCGATTTGTTCTTTTGTGCAATCCTTCCATCGACTTAGTAATGAAGTAATTATTCGATTGGCGTACGCAGAAAGTGATTCATTTTCTTTAGGTTTGTCAGAGTGCAAATTGATAAGGTTACCTGCACATGTGTCTGTACAAACAAATCTTGAAGTGAAGATGTCCTTAAATTCCACCCAAGTCATACCGGGATACATTACTTGAGGTAGCCACGCTGATGCGGTGCCTTTCATGGCTTTGCTTATCACCACAATTAGTTGCCCTCCTTGTGGTGGGTTGTTATCGAAGCACATGTCAGCGGTAGTGCACCACGCTCGCGCATCCACGTCGGTCTTGTCGGGGTCGAACTCAGGCAGGATGATCTGGCGGCTTGAACTCGGTGCTTGAAGTGCACTGATTAATGCCAACATGTGGGTATTTTGCATTTCAAATAACTCACGCCACTTTTTGTCCGCATTTTCAGTATCGTTAGGAGTTTGCCCAGCCCGCTCGCATCTCACTTCTGATATCGAATCCTCAGCGGACTCATGGTCCGACATAGTGTGGGCACGGAGTGGGAACACGGGCAGTTAGAGAAAACTCCTTTAGATTGCGAATAGATGTATTTTCAGAATACTTGTTACAGAAATATTACAGTAAAGAAACACTATGCAGTTCCTAGGCGCGTGTTGTCTCGGCGGCTGCCAAACGAATAATGAATTCGTCCGTCCGCGCACCGACCCCCTCTCTTCCTAGACTCTGCGTAACGCCGCCGCTAGGTGGCGCTTGTGTTTCCTTTCCGGTGAATTTAACCATAGAGGGCGCTGTAGGCGTCCGTAAAATGACCGAAGATGCGACATAGTAATGTTGTTTCACTTCCTTGATTCCCGAAAATTTCAGTGCCGCCCTCGTATTTTAAAGAAAACGTAATAACTTTTAAACTAAGCAGTATATCCTGAT